AACTCATTGAAGGAATAAAAAGGTCCTGGGAGACCGTTTCACTCAATTATACAAACAATTTATATGACTCCTTACCTCAGCGGATGTACGAAGTCATACTTAACCGTGGAGGCTCAACACATTATTAATTTGTTTTCAAAAAAAGTTAAAAATATTTAAATTAATATTAAAAAACAATTTGTATGAAGTTTGAATCCATTTTCTTTTTTTAATTTAAGTTTTCAAGTGACTGTGCTCATCGGCTGTCGCAAAAATAATAGTGAATTTTGGATGTTATGTTTTTTTATATTCATTTAAAATGTTATTAATAAAGTAAATATCCTATCTTCTATTAATTTTCGTGTGAAATTATATATTATTTCAAGGGGAAAAAAATTTATTTGAAAAGCTTTTTTAGTTTTCCGGATCTTGAGTTTCTAAGACGAGCAGCATTGGGTGTGCTAATCGGTTGTCGCGCAGTGTACATTTATAAAGTTGTGTAATAAAATAAGAACTGTTTATTTTTTTCCCAATATTTTGTTCAACGAATCCTCGCCCCCAAAACAGAAAAATGGTCATTATTGCCTAACATCAGTTAGTCAGTTAGTTACTGCCTTCTATAAGTACCGCCACAGAAATAAGAAACAAAGTCATCATAATAAAATAAACTAACTAAAATATTAATCACAAATGATTTAACAACGGAAAATATGCCGTCATGACAATCACAGGGTGGTCACAATCAAACGATGAGCCGAAAGAGCGAAAGCAAAACAACTCCTCAGGCGCCAAAACTGCGGTCAAGCTAAACACCAACAACTAATCAATTACGTTAACTAATTATATAGACAGTCAAGTTCCATGCATTTGTAAGCTATGCAAAGGTATAAAGAGTAAAACTCAAGCTCACACAGCGATAAGTGACAGCGAACAAAGCCTCCCAGGTGGGCAGACAAGACGTGAATTGAATTTTGTATAACAACAAGAACAATAGCAAATAGTACAACAAACAATGGCGTTAGAATTTTTGTAAGCCAATCAAAACAAAAATAAATGAATACTGTCACAAAAACAATGCCACAACATTAAGCATACATATGTACGAGTACATGCAACAACAATAAGAAACAGTAAATAGTTACAGGCGACAAAAAGTTAAATGCATTTAGTTATCAATAAAATACAAGAAAAAAAAAAACAAAAAAAAAAAACAAAAAAAAAAACATTGTTGTTCTTCCGCAAATAATAATCCCAAATAAGCCATAAATATATGCACATATATAAATATGTAAATTTATGTGGTTTTTGTATTGCACACAGCAATTAAGCAGGCGTAAAAGCGCTAAAAGTCGACTTAAGCAAAAGAGCGATTGAATTGTATGTCTTATAAACATATATGCATATGAGTATATGTAATATAATATGTAGATATCTGCATACATATTGACGGCACACAGGTGATTAGACAACTCCTGCGCGCTTTAACCAGCCGGCGAGCTGGCGCGGGCTGTGCGTGTGGGCAGCGTGAAAATAGCCATCATTTATTAAACACTTATTACACAGCCAATAACGACAGAGAGTGCCAACAATAAAATGAAGCAAATGCATACACAGTGCATGCATGCTTACGAGTATATATGTATGTATGTATGCATGTATGATGCCTGCGAATATGCCAATAAGCATGGCAATCAGTCAAACCATTGCACTGGCAGCTGCGAAATGTGAGAATTTGTTGGCAGAGCGGCTGCTGGGCGCACAACACGACGCGTCAGTGGCAATAAAACAACAATGCACACAACAACAAATACTAAACAAAAAAAAAAACAGCGCCAACATCAACACACCAACACTCCGTTGCAGCAGCAATCAGTTGTAATTACGAAGGCGTTAGTAGATTGATAAGTTGTTGTTGCTGCAAGTAAGCAGCGGGTGGTTCGCAGCCACTTAGCGCCGGAAGCAACCAGAGGCGGTCAAAAGCAAAAAAAGAGGAAGAAAAAGCAAAAAACATGAAACAAGTTGTATGTGGCAAGTACATGACGCAGATTCAAATCAATTTCAGATAAATGCAGAGAATATCGATAAAAATGGCGTTGGGTAGACGGAAGAAGGGAAAACACAAACACCACCACAAGATTTACACTTGAGAGTGGAAAACATTATTGTGTCATCTGGGAAATTCAGTGAAAGAACGAAAGCTACCAAGGACAGAATTTGTGTGCAGAAATTCCGAGAATTAAATAAAATTCCTCACACAAAACTCATTTTTTCTACTTCTGTTTCTAAGCTTTATACTAAATTGTTGTAAAAAGAGCGAATGAAATGAACGAGAATAGATAAGCTTGCGTACCGCTATTTTGAAGAACAAGGTTCGAGCCCTGGTTCGAGCCCTGGTTCGATCAACATCCGTAGCATAGAATGTAACTGCGGTGGCCCCTCGGTAGGCAACGTCAAACCCTCCGAGTGTATTTCTGGCATCAAATAAAAGCTTCTAATATAAATCTAACAGCCGTTCAGTGGCGGCTTTGGTCCCTTCATTTGTAAGAAAACATCAAGACGCAAAACCACAAATTTTTAGAAAAAGAGCTCTGTCGAAAAATTGCTTCAGCGGCCACAAAATGCCTATTACTAGATGAAGATGCTTTTTCTGACGTGTGGTTTTCGTTGGGGCAATAACAAATGCGGTAGCCAGGGATCTGTTTCGCCTCGCGATTAATCTAGAGAATGCACATCCACAGAGTAACAGTCGCGGTAGAGTATCGTAGAAGATCCGAATGGGTCTATGCGTCGCCGCGGGCAACAATTGTTACTGCGCTTGTCCACTTGAAGGAAGAATTTGAGGAAGAATCATCATGGCTTGCGGGCTTACAACATTCAACTCGTGCGAGAATTGAAACCGAACGTCCATCAAGCGTGGCGCACGTTCTGGTAATGCGTTCGAAACGAGATAGCCACCCGCCGATTTTCACAAGAAAAGTTTGCACAGCGTTCAAGCTCACTTTTGGTTCAATGGCTACATTATTAAACAAAACTGACACTGTGGGAGGGTTGATAATCCAAAAAAACATTGTTGAGACGCAGTTACATCCTCTAGAAGTACTTATTTGTTGTACTCTTTGGGCAAAGGAAATCATTGGTCTACACTTATTCTAACATGAAGCCGGCCATGCGGTTGTAATCCATGAAAAATACTCTCGGACCATGTTTTATGACTTGTTCGTGCCCGAACTGGAGAATACTGATGTGAACGGCCCTTGGATCCATGAAGCCAAACAGTAAACGAAGGAATCAAGTTACTGAAGAAAACTTTTGGTGAGCTCATTATCACGCGTCGTGGGTCTGTGGTGTGACCTCCAAGATGGTACGATTAAACACCGCTGGACTATTATTTCTGGAGTTATATGAAGTCTTTTGCCTACACATTGAAAGGGAATATTCAATATTGCTGACGTTCGGCTCCAATATCTGGAAAAAACTGGGTGGAAATTAAGCATCTCGGCTGAAATTTATTTGAGAAAGCGATCGCTTGCTCGAAAAAATCGTAGTGGCAAACCCTTAACCTTATCATAAAGTTAGATTCCTTTACATAACAAAAAAATAATATGCGCTTTTTTTTTGTTTTTTTTTTTTTTTTTGAAAACCGCAGGTCTAAAGAACACCCTTTACATACACTATTGAGGGTGTTGACGCATCAAAATGAGTTTAAAAAAAATTGATTATATTTAGGAAAGCATCAAATTAAATTGAAAATCTCGACGTGGTAGACAAAATCGTCTAACGGTTATGCGTTCAGAGTTTTAAGATCTTCGTACTAATGTCTGTCCAAACCTTGGCGGTAGGAGGATGAGGATGTTTAAGAGCAGGGAAGATGTTTATGTATGATACCTTTAAATGTATTCATGTAGCAGCTTGGCTCTTAAAGGAGTTCGGGGGTTGAACTTCATATTAAAAATTTGGAGGTAATGCGAGATGACAATTCCACCTTTTACACTATGAATTGACTCTTATTCTTTATGAAAGGGATCCGGGTGAAAAGATATGGAGATGGTGTGGGGTAAACATTCCATTTCTTACGAGGGAAAGTCATTTGTGCGCTTTGGACCACGTAGGACTGTCGTTTCTTAGCCATACCGGGTACTGACAAACATCTCAGTATGCAATATTGATTTTGGTGGATTGCCGATAATCCCGATTCAAAGGACGATGTTTGAATCCATAAATTATAATTTAATGTTTTAACTCAATTTAGGTTTAATTTATTTATATAACAATTTTTGTGATTTATGGCAGGTCGGTTTTAGAATGATTAAAAAAAATAAAAAATGTTGAAATCAAAGCGCATACAGAGAACGAAGGCGCGTTGCCTACCTTAAACCTTTAAAGATTCATATCCTCAACAAAGGTGTAAATTCAAGACAATCTTGTTGCAAACCATGAACAATTCAGCAGATGCTTTAGCACAGATAAAGTCAGGAAAATATCTATTTGAACTTGAAGAGGTCGAGCTTAAGTAAAGACCTTGCAAGGCGTAGGTTGAATTTATGGGCAGATCATTTTATTTTATTTATTTATTTTTTTTATTGAATATTTTAAGGAGCAGCAGACAAGTATGCCATGACAACTACATGTCTTAAAATAAATATAAAAAAAAATATTTATCAAGCGAAAATTTCTATGATTTTCGCCCAATAGTCTACTTAAATAAGTCTGCATTACTCGAAATTTCGCTTATGGAATTAAAAATAGTATTCACGCAGTTGCTGCTGAAGAATTAGTTATTTCTATTTGTTTAAAAAAAAAAACAAAAGGAAAACTAAAACTAAAATTCTCAATTTGGAGTGAAGAATTTTAGAAAATAATTTATTTTCCTTCATTTATGTATATTTTTTATTCTTTAATTTTTTCATTTTCATCTGCTTTCCATTATTTTAATAAATTTAAATTTAAATACACAGCTTTTAATTAGAAAGAATTTTTTATGTTAATTTTTATTTTTTTTTAGTTGTGTTGCTCTCACTCACCTTTTGCCATTGCGTCGCCTACGCTTTGTCGCGTAGACGGTGCCCAGTTGGCTCATCGCTAACGCCGAGGAATTCGTTATGGTCGCCGTTTTGACTACGTTTTCAATAAGTTGCTGCTGCTGCTGCTGCTGATCCTTCCTACAAAACGCCGCTTAGAAAAGGGCGCGGCGGCGACTGCTACCAGATACCGATAGCAGCGCTGTTGCTGTTGAACGCTGACGTTGATGCTGCGCCAGCAATGCAGCAAAAAAGGTGCAAATTCCAACTTATTTCACTTCTCTACAAACTGGCTCGTTGTACATTATACAATTCCAGTGTTTAATTGTATGTATGTATGTTTATATGCGTTGTATGTGTTGTGTCTTTGGGCAAATAATTTTTTTTTTATTTTTTATTTTATTTTTTTTTTTTTTGTATTAACTGAATGCACTTCACAGCATCTGAGGTTGCTTTATTGTTGTATTTGCTATATACTTTTTGTTGTTATTTTTTTTCTTTTGACTCTGCGCCACCTTTTTCGCTATATCAGCGTTGGAAATCTGCAGCTATATATGTATGTATGTATGCTTAGCTGCCGATTTTTTTGTGATTTTTACACATAACTTTTCGTTCACCTCCTGTGTGTGTGTTTTCGGGTTTCTTTTTTATATATAATTTTTTTCTCTCATTTGCTAGTTTACACTTTTATTTATTGGCTACGATTTATTGCCTTTCAGTGATTTCTCGAGTTTTTTTCTTATTAGAAATTGGTTTTTATAAATTTTTCATAATTTTTGTTAATTTTTTTTAGTCATTCTGTATTGAGTACACCGTTATAGTTGCTGAAATTTAACATTTTTTAAATCTTATTTTGAAAAAAATTTTATTTATTTATTTAATATTTTTATTTCAATAAATCTGTGTCGTTTTGTCGTAATATCTTGAGTCCAAAAGTCATATTCGGAGTTATGAACGATTTGAATTTTTTAAAAATCTTTTTTGACAACATTCTTTTTTGTAGTTTTATGTAAAATTTGTTTCGTTAAAATTTTCGAAAATATTTTTTTAATCCAATAAATTTTTTATTATTTTTGAAAACAAATTTGACAAATTTTTCCAATTTTTTTTTTGTAGTTTTGTGTTAAAGATATACATATATGGCATAAAATTTGCCATCTGTCAGACTCAACTGTGAAACCAAATATATTTTGTTTTAATTACTTTGAATTATGCAAATGGATCGTTTAATAATCGCACAACGTGTAGAAATTGTTAAAACCCAAAATGGCAAACGTAGCCATGCTTCGTGCTTTAAAAGCTGGTTATGGTGCACTTAACCCCATGCCACTACTCAAGCAATTGGAAAAAGTTTAAAGAAATTTGAAGTGATTGGATCGGTTGAAGATACTGTAAAGCCTATTCATCATCGTTTTGTTCATTCCAGTTCAAAGTAAAAGTGTAGCCGAAGCCCGGAATGTGACTATTTCTCGTGTCCCCAAAAGCTTGGCTTTTCTTGCAGCGCCTCATGGCGTATTTTGCACTTGGACTCAAACCTTCTTCCATGTAAAGTTCAGCACGCAGGCCAACTGAGGACAGAGCAGATCATTCATAACGCTTTATTACGCGAGAAATATCTCCGTCGCGTAATCTCTCGTCTTGACGGTGTCATTTGACAACCGAGTTCGTACGATTTTACCCCGTTGAGCTTTTTTCTGGGTTTACGTGAATGATGGTGTTGCGGACATTAACTTTTCAGCTCTTGAAAGACAACATTCGTCGAATTATGGGCGCCCAATAGGTGCCAAAAGGTGGGTAAAAATTAACTCAATTTAAAAAAAAAAATCCGCTGCCAATATTAAATCTTTTAAGAATTCAGTGATTAATTTTTTCTCAAGTTTGATTCAACAGATATGTAGCCGAAAACGTTAGCTTTACAGTGTTACAATTTCTTCCAAGTCGGTTAACTAATAGCCGACTTATGACATACTCAGGAAGACAGTCTTCATGCTTTTCTAAAACTATACCCTCCAACAACTCGGAACCTGTACTAACCTTTTTACAGGAAAACTATAGGCACCACTTAGCCAAAAAAAAAAATCGTTTTGCTTTAAATGTTAACGGGCCTAGCTGTTTTCTGCACATTGTTTACATAAATAAATTTTGTAAGAATTTCAGCTTTAGAATTTTAACTTTTGAAAAGTGAGAGAAATTTTTGAAGCAACTGTGGCTAGTTTTTTATATTGAAATATATATATATATTGAAACTGATTTATAAGTATTTATTTAGCCAAACTCAGGTGGCCAGAGCTAGAGTCCTGGTCCGACCAACATCCAAAATTATTATTGCCATCGCAAGGTTTAGAATCAACTGTATCAACCCATATCACATACTGAAAGAGGAAATCAGCCGAATATCCGGGCCTATAAGGGTTTAGCACAGCTAGATGGAGTAGTGTTAGCGTCTCATTTATTTCAAAAACATTTTGAGAAAATTCCCGTTAACAGTTTAACTTTCAAATTTTTATTTAAAATTTATATAAATATAAATTAATTTGAATTTTTAACATCTAAACTTTCATTTAATTTTTATTTAAATATTTAATTTTATTATTTATTTATTTGAATTTTTAACATCCCAACTTTTTATTTAAATATTTAATTTTATTACTTGTTTATTTGAATTTTTAATATCCAAGCTTTCATTTAATTTTTATTTAAATATTTAATTTTATTATTTATTTATTTGAATTTTTAACATCCAAACTTTCATTTAATTTTATTTAAATATTTAATTTTATTATTTATTTATTTTAACTTTTAACATCCCAACTTTTTATTGAAATATTTAATTTTATTATTTATTTATTTGAATTTTTAACATCCAAACTTTCATTTAATTTTATTTATATATTTAATTTTATTTTTTTTTATTTGAATTTTTAGCATCCAAACTTTCATTTCATTTTTATTTAAATATTTTATTTTATTTGAATTTGATTTGGGAAATATGCTTTTTTTCTCGATTCACGGGAAGTAGGTGAGCGGGTTAATGTGTTATATTTCAAATTTTCATTCAATTAATATTTAAATATTTATTAGTATTTTCAATTTGTTTTGGCTGAGCGGGTGCTGAATTAATTCAATAAATTAATTTTTTCTTAGTCAAATGTAATGAATTCCTTGCCGAAAAGAGGCTTTTTCATTACTTTATAAAAACTAATTTTCTTCTTTAATTTTGCAAGAGTTAAGGTAATCTATTTTGGCGTCTTCAAAAACCGGTAACTCTGATTAATTTTTCATATATGACTGCTCCACAAGAACAATTTTTAGAGCCCTATTCTACGCCTCCGACGGTTAAGCGCAAACCAGAGGAAAATATTAAAGTTAATTTATTAAAAAAAATACGCATAAATTCTAGGTTTATAAGTAATTTGATACAAATGTTTTTTACCACAGCTACTTCATTAAAAAAAGAAATAAAAATTTTTTAAGAAGTATTTGGAAAATAATTTCGTTTTCATACTTTATTATTCAATTTATTTATATTTTTTTCGATAGATGTTTTATAAAAAAAAAATTAATTAACTACCAGCGGAAATGTCAAGTAGATATCTAATGACTAAGAAAACACACTCGGTGATGACTAATTTGAAAAGAAAAATTTTGCTTTATTATATATATATATATTTATACAATTGGCGCTTTATAACCGCTGAAGCAATTTTCGGCCGATCGGCTGATGGTTTTTACACTCGGAGAGGTTGACATTCCCTGCAGAGGAGCGACCGCAATTAGAAACTTTAAAATAAACAATAATAGAGAAATCCGAAAACTTTGACTAAAAATTAGATTTTGCACCGAAAAGTGTGAAAAATATTAATAAATTATATGGATATGCTTTGACATTTTTATTATAAATATATAATTTATTTATTTTTGTTTTTATTATTCTTTTGTAACCAACGAATATTAAATAATTCACAAAAAACACTTATATGTATGTAGGAGCACTTACACTCACACACACACACACACACACATACACACACACAATCACAGCCTGCAATTGGTGATTGCGTTTTTAGTGCACATTTAAACACAAATTTATTGTTAATATACTCATTGTTGTTGTTTTTGTTGTTGTTGTTGTTGTTGTTATTGCCATTGGTGCAAGATATTGCGTGGCGCCCGGGCGCTTAAATGCGTGTTCGCACTTTTTGCTCCAATTTCGAACACGACAAAATTTTTTTTTTACCAACTCTTTGTTGTTGTTATTTTATTTTGTTTGCTTATTGCTCCAGTTGTTTTTGTAATTATTACTATTGTTGCCATTGAGCCAACATTGTATTTTTCATTCTTTTTTTTTTACTTTATTTATTTATTTTAATTTTTTTTTTGTTTTTCATTTCTTAGCATTATTTGTATTTGTATATATACTCGTATGTATATACATATAATATGTACATATGTAAATATGTATGTATGCACTTTGCTTTGGTATATTGAGCTTCCTTTTGATTTTTCTTGCGTGTGGCAGCCGTGACACGCAGCACTTGCGGTCTGTCTGACGCGTGTGAAACGAATACACAAAAGCGGTCTGACTCCAGTTGGGCAGCAAGCGCCAGGCAACAAAGCGCAGCAGCGCAACAGCAACGGCGGCTGAATTTATGTGGCTGTACGGCTGTGTGTGTGTGCATACAGTAGTCGTCGAATCGAATCGAATCGAATCGAATCGTATCGAAATCGTTTCGCGACTCAAGCGCACAAATAACAATATGAACATTAACTGCGCCAACAACAACAATTGAAGCGAAAAAGAAACGCGAAAAATGCGTGATTTGCACGATTGCCACTTTATTCCACTACATTTTGGTTGCGGTGTGTGTGTTTATGCACGGCAAACCGTTAGTTGGTAGGTGGCATGCGCGCCACCAGCGCCACAGTAATAAAAACAACAAAAACTTGAGTGAATAAATGCCGCAACGCGAAGTTTCGAGTGTTTGAAATGAGTGATTTTACCCGGGCCATTGGAATATGAGCTATGGGGCTGGCTGCTCTGCATCGCGCGAGCGAATGCCGTTTTACACGGGCTACGGCGGCAGACTGTTTTAAGTTAATGAATAACAATAGGAATTGCTCTCTTATAATTCCAACAACTACATGTATAGTTAATTGCAAAAAAAAAATATGAGGAGCTGCGCCAATTGTTTTACCGGCGGCAAAACTCTAATTTAAATTCTCTTTTTTTTTGGAATATCATGAGTTTCTGCGGAAAATATCTATTAAATAATAATAATAAATCTATTTCTATATGATTCAAAGTTCTGATCTCTTAAACAAAGCTCCAAACGGCACTGTTCCTGTCTGAATGGTACACCTACTGTTCCTAGAAAAGCGTTCAGAGTGATCTTGAACTAAAAATCCTGTGACATTCACTAGTACCAGAAGCTGTGAAATGTCTTTATTCTTAGCCACCTCTGAACGGCTGATGGATTTTTCTTGAGGTGCTTTGATTTTCATGTCAGAAATGCACTCGAAGGGCTGGTCGACATTCCCCGGTTGTGAGAAATTTTTTTTTTTTTTCAAAATACCTCAACCATTTAGTACTGTCTTACAACGTTATATGGCCGCACTGTTACAGCGGTAAAAAGATTACACAGAGATCACTGAGGTAGATACCTCTTCCTATTTGAGGCAACAGGAAAACATGGGAAGCTACTCCTTCTCCCTCTATAGATTAGATCAGCTGTTTAGAAACAGTGAGATATTGGGTATTTTGGTAGTTTTCAATGAAAACATTTCCAAAGTTTGATTTGTGAAAATTTAGTTTCTGAAAAAAAAT